AATCTCGTCGGTTGATGTTGACGACTACGGACATCTTTTCTCTGCTCGGGTGGCCCTGTCACGCGCCGACTAAGCCATAAACATGCTTTACCCTCAGTTTCCATCGGTCCCTCTCAGATTAAGATGTGCTGTACACGCCCTTTGAACCGTGTATAATAAAAAAAATCATGTGCAAGACAACAAAACTGCTATTTGCAAATTTATTTGTTTACATGTCAGCTACGTAGAAACTTCAAACGATTCAACTGTTGTTAGAGCATGTTAGGCCATCCTTAACAAATTCTATGTTTGCTGTCCCCCGACCCATGATTTTTTTAGTGGGTAGGTAGGTCTTTTTTGTGAGGCATAATAGTTATTTTAAGTCTGTCCTCATGTTTGCCACACATGCTTTGTGTTTCAGTCCTAACTATAAACAATAAAAAGAAAAAAAATGGAATCCAAAATGTAAAAAAAAACTTTTGGTTCGCGGCTATTTTCGTGGGTCGGTCAGAGGACAGCAAACATGTAATTTTTTAAGGATGGCCTTACTGTTCTTACTCCACGGTCCAGTTACGGTAGTAGACTTCGGACATTTCCGCTCTTTACTGTGAATTACATACAACATGCCCGACAAAGGTCACCAATTTTCTAAATAGAATAGAAAATTTGACAAAGAGTCAAAGTGCTCCCAAGACAGAGCTGCGCGTGAGTGACGCATGCGTCAGTTATTTGTGACCATCTGTACTGAATGCTGCGAGTTTTTCCAACTTGGCCAGTACAGCCAGTTGTTCTGCAACAACGCTGCCACCGACACAGTCAGACGAACGAATCTCCCCTTGCCGTAACAACTATCCGGCACTCAGCAACTTTAAATTCTTCCGAGCACTCTCAACTCAAAGAACCGCCTAGAAAAATATAACACCGACACTGTGTGCGAACCGCCCTATTGAAAACTGCTCGAGATGTCAACTCAGAAGAGAAAGCTAACCAAACAATCACGGCCGCTCGTACAACAAGCTGTACTCGTCACTCAGAAGGGCACAGCCGGCAAATCTGCTGACTGGCAACATGAAAATCCCACGGACAATGCAAATAACGTGAATAACAACAGCGGAAAAATCCACGCGTTGCCGACCCCCGCCGCGTCCCATACCCGGGGACCATCACTGCGTGACCGACTCGGACATTCTGCCCACGCTAGTCAGCCCGTACAATGCCCGCTCTGTGTCTAACGCACAACGACTGGCGCAGGATCGGCGACTCAGCCCCCCCCCCACCGCCATCCACACTTCCTTCGCGAACATTAACAATTATTCTCCCACTCACACGCGGGGTACATGCACGCTTCACACGCTCGACGAAACATGTGAAATTCGGACGCCTACGTGTTTTACGAAAGCGCGCGCATTCGATTTAGGCGAGTTCCGAGCGTCAGGTTTCCGTGGAACCGCAATTTGTATCTCCTACTGCAGTTAGCAATGATATACAGTCTTCAAAATTGCAGCAAACTTGAGTAGCTTCTCCTAGCTATACTCGCAATGTGTGTGTGTGTGTGTGTGTGTGTGTGTGTGTGTGTGTGTGTGTGTGTGTGTGTGTGTGTGTGTGTGTGTGTGTGTGTGTGTGTGGACATGTTGGGTGGGTGTCCACTGTGCGTCGTGTGTGTGTGTTGTGTGTGTGTGTGTGTGTGTGTGCGCGCGTGTGTGTGAATGCATGTGCGTGCGTGCGTGCGTGTGTTATATTTGCTCATATTTGTTCATATTGCTTCACATATTTCATATATTATTATATTGCTTCACATATTTCATATATTATTATATTGTTCATATATATATCATATATTATTTCATATTGTTATTATTGTTATTGTTATTATTGTTTATATTGTTCATATATTTGCTCATATTTGTTCACTAGACCGTTTCATTACACGAGGATATCTCACCACACACTTGTAGACCAGGGCCGTACCTTGGCAGACAGACACGATAAATGTAATAAGTATAGTCAAAGAGCTTATAATGATCATTATAAGCTCTTTGGTATAGTGCAGAACGTTGTTATTCGACGCCTCAATACATACTATATGACTCATTAACATAAAATTTACACCCAAAAAATTCATGTACTACGATCTACCGAGTGTCTAGTGTTACACAAAGTTGATTTTGCCCCAATTCATAAGTCCTACCGCCGTAAAGGCCGTTCGCCAAGAAAGAAACGTACGCACACATGCGCGCGCTTATAACGTTACTACACAATTTGTTAACTTGCACTATTTTATCAATTTGCATTCTACTGTACTTTACAAGTAGTTTCCTACCAACTGACCTACAGATCCGCTTTGGATTACAATATTCGCCAACACAAAGTTGGTAGTGTAAACCCAGCTTAAATGGGTGTTTTTTTGCATTTATCAGGACGGTAAAACCCGAGTTGCGGCAACACACTGTACATAATTTATAATACAAGCAACTATGTCAATACATAAAACTGTGAATATGAATGCCTCCAGGAGCCTAAATGTGTATGCGTATTCACGTGTGAATCAATTCACAAGCTATGACTAGCTATGACTAATCCCCCAGGCAATGGTTAAATAAAGAGAATTTGCTGGGTGTTCTATTCAGGCTAACAGGTGTAATTTTATACTCACGCTGTGCTATATTATTACATAATATGAACATGTGATAGTTAATAACTATGAGCGAAAACGTGAATGCAGGTAACAATTAGTAAATATGTTCACATCCATGTAGGTACAGGTAATCGTGCAGCACAAAAACAGCGCTTTTAATTTTAAAATCGAATTCTATACGTATATGACTCAACAATATACACGGGTGAAAACGCCTGCCAACAACCAGTGAACACAGTCTCGTACAGTAGGCACATGTTTCGTCATGTTTGCTACATTTTCCAGCGGAGTTACATGAATTCAACATAATGTTGCCAGTCATGCAGAAAAAAATCTATTGAAGACTATGGAAGCGTACATGCAGCCACGAACTTCCTGTGCGTGAATGTGTGTGTGTGTGTGTGTGTGTGTGTGTGCATGCGTGTGTGCGTGTGTGCGCGTATGGACAGGTATGCGTGTTCGCACGTGTGTAGGCACTGGGTAAAATATAGGCACCGGGCACCTAATCATACATACTTCTTTAAATGTCACGTTTTTGACAGATTCGTTAAGGTAAAATTGCAAATACTTGCAGACAGATGAAAAGACTAGCTTGTAGAATCTGTTAGTAACATGTATATAGCAAGTAGGTAGCCTACTGCCAAGTGCAGCTTGATGTTAGCTCATTAGAAGTGTTTGTGTAGATTATTAGTAAATTATTTGCCAATTATATTTGACAACTAGTGTATCAACTGTTGTTTATTTATCACATTTTGTGAAGGCAGGGAACACCATAGCTAGCGCTGTAGCCTTCAATACCAAACCCAATCTTTTCCAAATTCCAGTCCTTGCTAGCATGACGAAAAATCACGTTGGAATTCTTGGCCGATTGCTTACCACTTTCATTTAAAATAAACTAGGCCACCATGTGGAAGAAGTTACCGGCATTTTCTGCTCTACTAGTACTATATTTACACTTGCCAAAACACGTGCACTCATTCATGCAGAGACACTCACGTATACACACACGCACGTACGCACATTCACACACTCAACACCATAATTATTATGATAGACTTCACCTCAGCCATGCATGTTCTCCATAAATAGAAGAGGTATGGAAACAAAGTAAAGTTTGAGTGTGCGGTGGATGCCCAAGGCTAATTTAGATGTAATTTTTATCGAGTTGCATGTAATATATCATCGGTAAAATTAGGCAAGCAAATGTTGAAATTCACGTGTTTTTGACTGTCATACTCCTCCTATATTATCTTACTCCTGATATTATCTTACTCCTGGTAGTAGTACTAGTAGTAGTAGCAGTAGTAGTACTAGTACTATGCAGGAGTAATCTATATAATCTATATAGCAATCCTATATTATCTTACTCCTGGTACTAGTAGTAATAGTACTAGTAGTAGTACTACTAGTATTTACTGTATTTACTGTATAGCCACACACAACATTATGTCGATGCATGGCTATGATGGGTATGGCTATGAGTATGAAGGGTTACTATGTTTTGAGGGAGGCTGTTCCATGTGTCGACAACTCTCTGGGAGAAAAAATGCTTTCGTATTTCTAACCTGCTCTGGTCCTTAAAAAGTTGCATACTGTGTCCTCTTGTATGGGTGACATGTGATTTAGTAAAAAAAATCCTATAATTTACTTTGTCTATGCCCTGGATGAGTTTGAAGACTTCAATAAGATCTGCTCTCTCCCTCCGTTTCTCCAGTGTGGTGAGATTTAGTTTGGATAGTCTATGATGGTATGGGTGTTGTTCGAGACCTCTCACCAATTTTGTAGCTCTCCGCTGGACCTTTTCTATGAGCTGAATGTCTTTTACCAGATATGGACGCCAGGCCTGGACTGCATAGTCTAGGTGAGGCCGGACTAGCGATTTGTACAAGAGAATGATTGTATGCTTTGACCTGTCCGTAAAGCACATTTTGATGACGCCTAGGCTAGTACTCTATTGGCTTTCTTGACTGCTCCCGCACACTGCCGTGATGGTTTGAGCGATGAATGTACTATAATTCCCAAGTCTTTTTCTTCCGTTGTGTTGGCTAGGGTCGCATTGTTCATGTAATATGTGTCCTCTCGATTGCCATATCCCATATGTATACATTTGCATTTGTCCAGGTTAAATAGCATTTGCCAGTAGTGTTGTCAATCGGTTGTAATTTCGTAATCGATCATTGGTTGGACCCAAGTAACCGATGATCGGTTACAATCGGTTACTCGGGGTGTTGAATGCCTGCGTGTGCATAACGTCGTTTGCATGTATGTGCTTGTTTAGCCCTGATTACGGTTTGTTTTGCACTGTTTACTACTGTGTGTATAATACATGTATGTTCCACGTTTAGTCGACACTCACGCTCCCCACGATTAGCCAACATCAACTCACCTCCACCGGTGATGATCACGTTGAACGTGTGCACCGTCTGCTCCTCGTAGTCAAACTGCTTGCCGAACTTCAGACTGATGTCGCCAGTGTTCGGATCTACGGTGACAAACTCGTCCTCCTCCTCCAGCTGGAATCGCTCGCCCTCCTCCCAGCGCTGCAGCGTGCCGATCACGCCTGTCTTGTTCTCGGGAACGTCGAACGTACGGCCCGCGCGACGCCGCACGCGCGCTCGCTCCGGCTCCGTGTTGACGATGTCCATCACGCGCTGCACGTGTGCGTGCGGCCGGCGCACAGCGACGGCGACCGTCGTCGGCGGCGACGACGTCAGCGGCGGTGCGCCGTCGTCGGTCGCGTACACCGTCAGGTTGTAGTCGCCCTCGTCGACGCCGCACGCGACGAAAATCTCGCCCGTGAGAGGTGCGACAAAGAAGAATGGGTCGTCGGGCCACATCGAGTACGTGAGACGCTGGGCCTCGTCGGCATCTGTCGCGACGACTCGCACAACCCGCGTCATCGACGCAACGTCGGTCGACAGCGAGACGGAGTGGAGTGGTAGCGCGAATCGCGGCGCATTGTCGTTGACGTCGCCAACGGTCACCGTTGCAACGGTCTTTGTGTGGTCGCTGCCGTCTGCATACAGTGCCTGGATGGTGAGGTTGTGACGGGCGACGGTTTCGCGATCGACGCCGCCGGCGACGACCACCGCCACGCCCGTATTTCCCGCTCGCTTTGCCTTCTTCAGCGCGAATACCTTGTTGGTGTTTCCGGAGACGATTTCGTAGGCGACTTTGCTGTGCTGCTCTTTCGCTTCGGCGTTGACAAACTCCAAGCCGGTTACCGGGGTGCCCACTGCCGAGTTCTCCTGCACTCTTCCGGCATAGTCAGAGGGAAAGCGCAGGAGTCCACGAGTATTGAGCACCCTTAGCTGTAACGTCTCTAGATGCACGTCGGGGAGTAGATTGTCGTATACCTCTAAAGTCACTGGTTTGTCGATTTTGCTGGATATGTTTCCTACCGTTATCAAGCTCCCGTCGTGCATGAGGGAGAAGTACTCGGAGAAGCTTGCATCCTTTAATTTTACGCCACATAGATGGAGTTTGTGAACCAATGTCCCAGGTTGAGCATCATGTGGCACCACTACTATTCTGGGAGAGAGAGTGGCCCGTACACAACCTAGTAACATGAGAAGCACCGCAACGGCCATTCCCAGTGCCGCCCTTGGCGGCGGCACTCCGTTCTCTGCCATGGCAACGGTGTCACCCCTGGCCTTCCCCAACTCTTCCTAAACGCAGCTGGAAATCAAACACGTATATTACAATATTAATGGCTGCACATGTGTTAAAGAGCTAACAACTGCCAAGCAAGCGATGCTTCGCTATTATGCTCAAGTCATTACTAGAGCATGTTATTCTATATAAAGCCTTTATATAGAATAACACACTCTAATATTTTAATAGACAGCACTGTCAGCAGCAATCCAAGTTTGCTTGGCAGACGTGTGATTGAGTAGCACTCAGTCATAGTAAGTAGATTCTGCATGGCATAAATACAGTTCACACTAATACATCGTACATTATTGATACGGAAATTGAAATAGATAATAGTGTTAAAATAATACATCATAACCGTTAACCAATTACTGGCAATACTCGTACACTACAGTACCTATCTCATCTGTATACAAATGCAAACATTAACACCGATTCTTTCTGTTGTCACCGGCTGCGGATCCACGCAGACTCACTAATACAAACATAGAAAAACCACACAGTTTCGCGTACACGCTCTTGCGATTTTTCCGGTGGCACTGTCGCGGTTCGAGTTCAGTGACGGTCTGAGCATTACCACTGCCACTGGCACGGACTCAAAAGCTATCATCGTATCGATCGGATAAAATGAACCGTAACTAACAACACATGAAACCGAGTAAATATGGCTTATTTGGGTACTAATCCGTCTAACTAGCATTCACGTTAATAACTTACTTGTGTTAACGTCGTTAACTGGTTAAATGATGCCGAAGTTTCTTCATTTTTGACGATGAGACGATAACAGAAAAAGAATACGGATTTGGCGACCGTACCGCCACTTTTCGCCACCAGGTGTTTCCGCATGGAGGCAGCACCCGCCAGTCAATAACAAAGAACTTATACAATGTAGCACTTTTTTTTACAATTTCTCTAGACCTGTTGAGAACAAGGAACGTTTAATATGTAGTACATTTTATTTTTAGTTGGGAACAGCAACAATAGCACGAGAAGTAAAACCTGGAATCCGAAAGAGAACCCCTATTTAGTGTTATGCACCTACTTAGTATTACTAACAATATATATTCGCCTTCATAATCATATAAGCCTTTCACGAATCACATCACATGCCCACACACATTTGTTAGGAATCCCACAGCACGTTTCTGCTTTGTATAAGTACACAGCCCTCCGAAGATGCAGTGCTGATTTCAAGTGATTTGTCTATTCAAAGCAGGCCCGTTTAGTACTATCGTCCCCTAACGTCACATAATGGTATAATAAATTAATTACACCACGAATATGCAACCACTTTTTGAAATAGGTATTGAATCAATCACTGAGCTATGTATAATAACAGTATATAATATTTATAACATGATATTATATATATACAACTCAGCGGATTTAACTAATATGGTCGCAGTTAGAGGGCGCTGTCGACCAAACAGAGTCGAAGTTACGAGCATGGAGCCGGTTTGTGATGCTTTTTATCCAATTGATGGAATATACGAAGAACTATCCGTCTCGCTTAAAAGAAAAGTAGATAATACGCAGAATGTTACCACCACAGAGGTAATAAGGACTACGCTGTATATTGTTTAAGTCTTAGGCTGAGCGAGTTGTTTGTAGGAATAATTAATACGCAGTGGCTGGAGGTAGGCCTACGGCAGCCGTCGTTCTGTAGTGTAGTGTAACGACGGTCACGATGATGACGTTACCCGGTTCAAAGTAGATTAGTTGTAGCGATGAATAATGAAAACTCCAAAGTCCAAGCAGTTGTGTTCAGCAAATAGTATTATTGTTTCTCAACCCACATGTTGCGCGCACAGAGGCACTCAGCCGCGTGCTTCGCACACTCACGCTCATACTCATAGTCATACTCATAGACATAGGGTCTATGTCCCCCGGGCCAGGGTACTGCCTGAACGTACCCTGGTCACTATTTGATAGGGTTAGGATTAGGGAATAGGGTTTGGGTTAGAGAGTAGGCGTAGGCGACTCCCTAGACTCGTTAGTGGAGTAGGCGAGGTACGGTCCGGCATATTAGATAGTACCAGGGTACGTTCCGGCAGTACCCCGGGGGACATAGACCTTCTCAGCCACACTCACGTCCCACATGCACAACAATTCTCTCTCCACCGTTTCTCATCTCCATCATCCATACTACATCAAATGCGCTACCGCCGACCAACCCATTATGCAACCACAGTCGCTACATTTCCAATTACTCGACTACTATTTGTAACATCTGCAAACCATACTTTACATTACCTTCCTTTCCTCCAAGACGATGGCTTCTATAAGCCATCGACTTTAGCCTCATCGCTAATCAAAAATAAACCAGCATGATAAACTAGCGGTCGCCCAGTCGCCAGTGGCGATTAGAAAATCGACCAGGCGAATGCTTGCTCGTGTCAGCTGGTCCGGTGGGGTGACTAGATAATCGCCGCACAGGAAATAAAAAATTTACCAAACTGATTATTTTGTTATTCTCTACTAACCTACTACGTTATTCTAATGAAATGAATGGTAAATTTAATCAAATATAGACTAAAAATAGTCAAATTCCGAAGCCTAAAGTCCATGCGAAGTACATGAACACGCCATGTTTGTTGTGTTCGATTTTCTAGGTCATGCTGTTAAACCTCTGCTAATTCGATAATACTGGGCATCCCCGACCAATCAGCGATCGCGTAATAAAATATGATAATTTATAGGAATAATGGGCGGTCTTCAGAAACTGCTGATCTTTGAAATTGACTTGCGGACTTGTTCCGATTTACTACGCATCAGTGTATCGAAACAAGTAAACAATATAATTTGCTGATGAAAAGAAACGAACATATATCTACACTATCAAGATACTGTCATATTATGTAACCGAATCAAATTGCGTATTTTTTAGTACATGAAGATGGCAGCACCATCCAAGAATGAACATCACTATCGAAATCGGAATCGATATTGAGGCTTATGTTCGGGGGCTTCTGCTACGCGGTGTGCATGTGTCGGTTGATATTATTGGTCGGGGAAGGGTTAACAATTAAACGCCCATCACTGTAGTAAATGCAGTATTATATTATATATTGTTGTTGTTTAAATGCCCTATTATATATCGTATTCCATTTATTATTAAGAATACCTTAGAATGCACATCACCAAATTGCACCATCCCCCCCTATAAAAACGTCCCCACATCCGAGTCATTCACTTTGCTACGACATAAATCCTGGACCAGTGCCTACTGACCAGGACCAGTGCTTCCTCAGAGCCACATCAGTGAATTATCACCGAAAGAATTAGGGTGAAGAGAGAGAATTATCAGTTTTTCACCCTGTGAACCCTAATCGTAATCCACCCTACGTACACACCCATGCACACTTACATCCTACATACACACACGCATACGCACGTGCACCTGTCTCTCATCCTGGCGATTAGACAATCCAACATTACCCAAAATTGCTCATACCCTTACGGCCTTACTATTAGTGATGTCACGATCATCGATTATACTCGATCATCGGTTGAACAGTGGCTTGAACCAAGCGCTTAGTGATGTCACGATCATCGATTATACTCGATCATCGGTTGAACAGTGGCTTGAACCAAGCGCTTGGTTATCAAAATCCATAATCGATTTCATCGAAAAAAAATATAAAAAATTCGGAAAAAAAAAATTCGAAAAAGTGATGAGAATCAGAGATATCATCGCTACTATACAAGTTATCCTGTATAACATACATGTATTATACACACAGTAGTAAACAGTGCAAAACAAACAGTAAACAGGGCTAAACAAGCACATACATGCACACACGTACATGCACACGACGTTACGCACGAGTAACCGATTGTAACCGATCATCGGTTACTTGGGTCCAACCGATGATCGAGTATAATCGATGATCGTGACATCACTATTTGCCAGTCCTCTGACCATTTAAACAAAGAGTTCAGATCCTGTTGCAGCCTGTGTACTTGTT